AGATGAGTTCCAACCGCAAGACTGCACGTGCGAGCCCTGCCTTATCGCAGTGTGCCACAAACAACCTCACCGTTTTCTTTCTTTGTAAGGAACACCACTGCCAAGCAGAGTGGCTTGAACTGTAACACCAGCACACAGTATTGACTCTAGGCAAACAAGACTTAAGTTTTAAATAAAATTGGCTTAACAAAAAGGATAACAAAGATCTGATCTAGAGGACTCTAAAAAAAATAATAATAATGGTTTGGCACAGAAGACATCCTGCTCCAGGGAATAACATTAGCCTCCATGGTGAGATCAAGTTACAGAAAACTAAACATTACAGTCCTAGGCATGGAGAGCCCCAAATGCAAGAATGGCCAGTTCATGTTCTCAGCAATAACATGAGTAGTCACGAGACTGCATTCTGCAAATATAAGGAAACAAAAGGAAATGGTCTTATTCAGCATCTGTCTCTGGAGCTGGAGAACACCCCTAACCCCTCCTCTAACTCACAGAGGGATTCTGAGACCAGATCTTCCCAAACATCTCCGTGCCTGACCTGCTCCCCAAATCCAGCAGGTCAGAGATGGTGGTGGAGTGTATTTAATTTGATGTTTTGCATAGAATTAGACCACACAAAACTGCATCAACTGAGTCAGGAAGGGCAGACAAGGGGCCGGCTTCATCTGGAGCACAGCTGGAGTCAAGTTCAGACTATCTCTTGGGAGACTGGTGGCAGCCAGCACATGTAGCTTGTAGAAAAGGAACTTGCTTCAGAACAATTCACACAGATGTTACCAGGATCGTTTGCCTTCTGCCACAAAGACCTGTAACTAAGGTTTCTGGAGGATTCTACTGTCAATTGTCTTTAAAACCAGAGGTGAGAGAGGTTGGGTGCCACTCACCATTTAGCTCCCCATCCATTCCTGGAGACTTCCTGGTTGAACAGGGGCCTCTTGGGTCACAGAGGAAGCCCCATTCCAATAACACTGAAGAGAAGTCCAAATGGGAGGCAGCTAGGCGTCGGCCAGATAACATAGGTAGCACAGAATGAGGACTTGTAACCCAGAGCAAAGGAATACCTGGAGCTGCCAGATGCCAGAAGATGCCAGAGGTTGCCGGAATGGCACAGATCCTCTCACAGGTTACTTAGAGGGGACCAGCTAGGTGCACATCTTGGCTTTGGACTTCTGGTCTCCTAAAGAATAAAAGTAAATTCCTTCTCCTCTCCCTCTTCTTCCTCCTTTTCCTCCCCCCTCTTTCAAGACAGAGTTTCTCTGTGTAGCCCTGGGTGTCCTGGAACTTGTTCTGTAGACCAGGCTGGCCTCAAAGTAAGAGATCCATCTGACTCTGCCTCCCGAGTGTTGGAATTTCCGTTTTTGTCAAGGCACAAACTTTGTGAGGACATGTTAATGACTTTAATGGAATTAAGGACCAGCCATTTAAATCCAAGAGCCCCCCTTTCTTCACCTGAAAAAAATGGGGACAACTGTGCCACCTCTGCTTATGTCCCACAGTAACTATCGCAGTAAAGCATGACACACATCTTTTTATTCTTTCACACATTGCATCCTGACCACAGTTTCCCCTCCTTCCACTCTTTCCCATCCCATCCACCTCCCCTTTCCATTCATCCTCTGTTTCCTCTCAAAAAAGGGCAGGCCTCCTAGAAATATCAACAGAACACAGAATAACAAGTTACAATAAGACCAGGCACAAACCCTCATATCAAGCCTGGATGAGGCAACTCAGTAGGTGGAAAAGGGTCCCAAGAGCAGGCAAAAAATCAGAGACACCCCCACTACGACTGTTAGGAGTCCCACAAGAACACCTAGCTACACAACCATAACATATATGCAGAGGGCCTAGTGTAGGCTCCGTGATTGTCACTTAAGTCTCTGTGAGTCCCCGTGAACCCTGCTTAGTTGATTCTGTGGGCCATGTTCTCAGTGGCACACATCTTATGAAATCAGGGGCAATGTTTGAAAGACTTTTCAAAGTGAAAGTATTGTTGTTTTCACTAATTGTTAACATAAGAAAAACAAGTAGAAGAGAAAATTTAAAAGCTGAATTTATTTATAACTCTCAAAATAGTCACTATTCCGTTCTGGGTCACTGCCATCCTTTCAGCAAAGCTGGTGGACACGGTTGGTTTTGGAATTTGAATCTTTGGTTTCTTTCTTTTTCTTTCTTTCTTTCTTTCTTTCTTTCTTTCTTTCTTTCTTTCTTTCTTTCTTTCTTTCTTTCTTTCTCCCCCCTCTCTCTCCCCCTTCCTTCTTTGCTTCCTTCCTTCCTCCCTCCCTCCCTTCCTCCCTCCCTCCCTCCCTCCCTCCTTCCTTCCTTCCTTCCTTCCTTCCTTCGCCTTTGCTATCAGCTTACCCTTCTCACGCCACAGTCTCCTTCCATCTGGATAATGAGGGTACATGGCTGCCAGGGCCATCATGAGAGTTGAAGGGGACAGCTAGCTCATGAGAAGCAATGAGACCCAATGTCCAGCATACTGTCTGTGAGGGGAGGAGTGTGGGAGCCTGTTTTCAGGTTCCTCTTGGCTTTACCCAGCAGGCCCACATAGAGAGGATAATTAGAACCACGGGCCTGAGTGCAGGTGTCTGAGATGGTCTGCACTTGGCTGTGCTGGGGGGAGGTCTTTTGCTCCACCCCTTGGTGTCTCTATAAAAACCCTGGGGCAGAGACAGTCAGGGCTCCTTAGAATAGGTTCCAGGCCCTCTCAAGTCTGTCCTTTATTTTCTACCTGTTTATCTCCACAATCTAAATCCTTCTATATAATATTTCCTGCTGCTCGAACTCAAGAAAACTCTGGGGAGCTGTGGGGGTGGTGGGTAAACACCCCATAGAGAAGGAGGAAGGGGTTTGCTGGGCTGAGCACCCTATCAAGATTTGGCACAGAGCTTGGGACACAGTGCCAGATAAAGTAGCCATTCTTATGACTGTTCTAGAAGGAACCGTTCTCCCTTGACTGTGGGAACGTCACAGGCAGCTCCTCTCACCATCTGCTGATTCTCTTTGCCCTTCCAGGTCCAGCTCAAGCCCCTTCTCTCCCGGAAGCCCTCAGCGATGCCAGGTGTGGTTTGATGTCTACTCTTGGCTTTCATAGCGCTGGCTTCACCTTCTATCATTATCAAAGCTCTTCCCCCCATTGCCAGAGGTTCTAAACCTCATGAAATCCCACTCTTAGTCAACCGTGTTTCCAGTTCCTGACTCATCATAAGTATTTAGAAACTATTGCCTGAACAGCGCTGAGAGGAGAGGGAACAGATGTTCAAAGCCATTAGGGCTCTGCCTCTCTGGCCTTTGGGGGAGGGGCAGACCAGTGGCTCTGCTATCCCCAAGGCTCCTGGGATTCCTTCTAACACAGCAAAAATCAGTCTTTGCTGACATGGCTATTACTTTCATATGCACACCAGTCAAATATTCTGTGATAATGCTTCAAAACAAATACCCTGTACCTCAGCTGCTTCTGAGAGCATACACCCCTCTTGCCTGAGCATGCAGCTCTGCTTCTGGGTATACATGGGGTTCAGGTCTGCACCCTGGTCCCTTCATCCTTGGAAGAGGCTGCCCAGGGACAGCTCTTCTTGTGTGAAAGGTGGAAATGAAAGGCCACAAGGGCCAACTCTAGAGGCCTCTTTCAGAACTGGCAGTCACTTCATGTCCACAGCAGGTCAGGGAGCAGAGAAGGGCCGTGAGGCAGCAGCTGCCCACACAGCAACTCAGGGTCCAAGGCAACAGAACACACTTACGCCATGCTTACTACATTCCAGGGCTCAAAATCACCCCCTTGTTCCCCATCACGAGCCTTGGGAATGTAGATGTGCTATTCGACCCATTGCACAAATGGAGGAACTGAGGCCAGAAGAGGTTATGTGACCTATTCAAGTTCACTCCCTAGAATGGGGAAAAAAGACTCGGGACTGTCTGAATTTCTAGCCCTGACCTTGAGGTGTCTCCTGTATCTTGCATTCAGCCCCGAGTCTGGTGTAGCCTGGCCACATCACTGAAGCTCATTGGCCCAAGGAAGAGCAGGTTGTGCATCTCCATCATTAATTTCCAGCCAGATATTCTTGCTTTTTTTATACATATTATTGGACAACCTTACAGCCACCTGGGTATCACCCCATTCCACAGATGAGAATCCATGAACACCAGGTATGTAGCCTGTGAGGATGAGGTCAGTTGGACTAGAAGCAGTTAATCAATCAGTCAGGTCACGGTGGAGCTGGCTCCAAGCTCATCTCTTTTGTCCTTAGTTTCTGAGAAATTAAGTTATATTAGCAAAAAAAGGGGTCGGGGTGGAGGGCAGAGGGAGGGAAATCGGTTAGGAAGACCCAGAAAAGAGCCTAGGTTCGCACAGTGGCTCCCAGCGCCCAGCAGGTGGCAGGATGTGGCCAGAGATGCCCCGTCCCTGGGTAGCCTGGGCCAATAGCCCGCGCTATGGGGGTAATGCCAGCCTCCCAGGGAGTTCGTGCCGCCTACCCTGGCCCCTGAAAGTCTACAGTCCTTAGGGATCCTGGACTCTGGAGACATCTCCCCTCCCCCGCACACACACACACACAAGCACCACGCCGCCGCCCCCCTCCCCGCCCCCCAGCCGCTGTAAGAGTCCAGAGACCCAGACGAGAACCCCGCCCCTAAATCAGCCTCCAGGCTTCACAGTGTGAGGGAATCCTGAAGAACTGGACAGGCAATTTCCCCAAATGGACATTTTATTATATTTTATTTAGTAAATGACACTCGTGGGGCTTCAGTTTCTCGATGTACAAGGTGAGGTTACATTAGACCTATCTCGCTGATCTGGGCTCTCCTTTCATTCACTAAACATCCCAGAAAACAAAGAAGAAGCCTGTGGCTGAGCCTAGCGGGTGACCGCAGTTCTTAGCCAACACGAACTGTCAAACGCTGCAGATGGGGTGTCCCAGGGACCCAGCTGCTCCAGGGAGGCCCCTTTCCTTCGGAGTCCCCGCCCACCCGACTGTGAAATGGGGGCGGTGGCTTCTAACTCTTGGCTGAGATCCCGGTCCACTCCCCCTCCTCCCGCTGCACGCCCTCCCTCCCTCCTTCTCTCTCCTCTTCCTCCCGTTCTTCCTCACCACCGTTGTGAACGGCGTTACACGGTGATCTGGGCTTAGGGAGTCCCCGGGTTTCCATCAGTGTATTGTGCGTCATAGAGAGAACCGGGTGAGGGCTCAAGGGGTGCCGTGATCGCGGCTCGTGGGCACCCTGAAGGAAAGGGTGGCTACACGGCCCCCATCCCTGAGCTGCAATCGGCCCCCTCTGCACACACGCTACAACCCTGTCTGGCCGCTCCCGTCGCAGCTTGCTTCCTGCATCCCCGGGCTCTCATCCCGCGCCCGGCATCCCAAGAGCATCCTGCATCCCTTATCCCTGCGAGAATCCTGCATCTGACATCCCGGAGGCTGGGCATGTAGTAGCGGCGGTAGCTGCGGAATATGGGCGGGAACCACTCCCACAAGCCCCCAGTGTTTGACGAGAACGAAGAAGGTAAGACACCCACTCCCCAGCCCGCCACTCCCCACATCGCTGGGCGTCCTTTCCTTCTGGTATCCTTCGCTGGACAACTGCTAAGAGCGGTGCAAGGGTGGACACCTGGATCTCAGCACAACCGTGTCACCCCGCACTGGCTCTGCACCGGCCCAGAGCCAGGCATCGAGCTCCTACCTGGTCACTTCTTAGGCTTCAGTGCCCTTTAGAAGCTGAGATCATGCTGAGCCCAGGGTTGAGACAGAAGGCTGAGAAAAGACAAGGGAACTCAAGCTATCACTTGGGGGGGGGGGCGTCACAGAGAAGACCTTGCTTCACAGTGGAGTATGGGGTTGGGGGGCATTGCACTGGTTCATCATCCTAGGATGCCAAGGTGGTCTTCAGAGCTTGACGTTGACAGAGGTGGCCTAGTGGGTGGAAGTGCACTGTGTGTGTGTGTGTGTGTGTGTGTGTATGTGTGTGTGTATGTGTGTGTGTGTGTGTGTGTGTGTGTGTGTGAGTGAGAGAGAGAGAGAGAGCGAGAGAGAGAGCGAGAGAGAGAGCGCTCTGATTTGGTCTTGTGCACAGGCACATGGCTCTCTTCATTCACTCAGGACAGGACTGCATAAAGAAACTTTTTGTGGTTGAAGTCAGTGGCTCTGAGGAAGGAGTCTTGTTTGAGCTAGCTTCCTGGTGGGGAGTGTTATAGGCTGTCCACCTTGTGTAAACTCAGGGTCCGGAGAGTCCTTGTGGCTAATGGTGATAGAACTTGGTACTTGGGTTTTGGCTGAGCAGAAGTGTAAGTAGTTTTCTTAGCATTTATTTTCGTTATGTGTCCCGGGACTCAGGCCCTCTGAATCCTTTCCCCCTGTATCTGTGAAGGTTCCTATTCAGATTGCTGGGAGCGCAATCATTAGTCACACGTGGAAAGTGTCTTACAAACAAACATTGGTTATTAACCTTCTGAGTAATACTACACACTGGCTTCTCTCTGCCTGTCTATCTCTACTGTGCCCAAATTAGAGTCCAGACATCCTGAGCCTTCTTTGGTGCTAACAGATCCCAATGGAACAAGTACTTTTCTTGTGGCTGCTTTGCAATTGAAGAGAGAGAGAGAGAGAGAGAGAGAGAGAGAGAGAGAGAGAGAGGAGTTCCAGTCATAGTCTGCACCTGGCAGAGCTAGCCCTGAGGCTGGGCACACTGAGCTCATCGTCTCTTGAATAGGGTACAGGTTTGCCCACTCAGAACATGATTTCTAGAACCATCAAAGCTAGAAGTGGCCCCCTCAAAAGGGCGAGACCCCACCTAGGCAAAGCCATGGTGGTCCTTTCTTGCAGGGGCCCAAGTCTGATGACTCTGAACAAACATCCTTGGTGACAGACAGTGAGGGTTCAGCATAGATAGGGAGGTGCTTGGCAAGCTTGATCTTCTTGGTCTTCAGACTGGAGTGGGCTGGTAGGAGCCAGGTGGTGTCAGGTCAGAGACAGTGGGAGCTCTGTATGCACCAGAGGGAGTTAGGACTGCTATGTAGTTTTGTAGTAGGAGTTCATAGGTATTGCCTGGGTCAAGGTCACACTGATCGTTTTCTGAACATCTCTCTGTCTTTTAAACAATCATTCAGTAGGTTTAATTTTACCGTATACACCAGTTTTCAGTAACAGAGTTAAACAGAATCCTGATATTAGTTCTCTCCTTTGAAGCACACATCTACATGGAACAATGGCCTCTATTAACAATGACCCCTCTAAAATCTTACCCAGTTTCTTCTCTGCCACAGTGAAATTTAAATTCTTCTTAATCACTGCCCCCAAATGCTGTATATTAATACTTCACTTGTGGCAGATAATAGACTTCTAAAGAAGGTAATTCTTTGAATTAAATAAAAGGAGTTTCCTTATGCACTTCAAGACAGCAAGGGGATACCCTGAGCCTATAACTACTTTTTATTTTTATAATTATTCTTATTGATGTTGCCACTTAATACTCCTACCTTCCAAAAATACCACATATGGTCATTAAAACCATCCCCCTGTGTGACGCCTATGGATTTTAGTTTTTTGGGAAAGCACACCTTTCTCATACCCTTTCTTCACAGAGGGAAGCTCTGGGTCTGTCAGCTCTGGGTCAATGATCTCATTCATGCTCCATTTGCTCTAAAATACTTACTCTAGTTAATGTTTTGGCTTTTCTGTCTTGGTTCCCCGTCCAGGGTCTATGGAACCTGGGTGAGCCACCTGCTTTGGGGCGGGCTGAAGTACAAGGCTGGGGCTCTTGTGAGCACCTGTGACTTTACAGCCATCTCCACGTATTTCCTGCACATGTGTGGAGTGCAGCCTGCCAGTCACGTATTTCATAGGCATTTATAGATCTTTCCCACACCTACCCCACGCTGGATGCCAGGAGTGGAAGCGTGGTAGAGGGACCCTAACCTTGGGAGAACACTCAGCTCTAGATTTGAGTTTTTCAGCAATGGCAGTAGTTTCCTAGGGAAAGACATTTCTGAGGGTGGGAACAGAATGTACAAGGGCAGTTGGTAAAGAGAAAGAATGGTTCATTGGAGATCTGGCAGGGCCTTTATTGTACCTGTGGAAGGTGAGGCAGTAAGGTACCATAAATGGCCCTGAATGCCAGGCCAGCCTCAAAGGGCTCAGGACCATGTGAGGTGTGTGGAGCTGATCTTCCAGGAATTCTGAAGTTGTCCAAGGGTTGTAGGTAGGGAATAGTGTGGCTTGATGAGCAAGTATCCTCCTCCAGGGGGCTGAGGTGCTAACTCCTGAACAGGTCTGATTCTCAAGGACTTGAATGCTAAGCCACAGTAGAAAGTTTGCCGTTGTGTAAAATGTTCTCCAATCTCAGGGTGGGCATGGGGCTTACTGTGTTCAGATCACAGCTGACATGCTAACACCAGCAGTAAGAAGCCTGAAAGAGCACGCTCATGTCCTAGGAAGAATGGCTACACTAAGGAGTTGGCGGCGTTTCTGTCTTAGCAGCATGTGAAATAATGCTGTGTTTACTGTGATGTCATCTGAGGTAAGGTGGAAGATTGTGTAATGCCCCCACCTGAGTCTCCTTGAACAGCAAATGACCTACAACCAACAACAAGTGCTTTGCTGGAACCGACCGGCTGGGGCCACTTGGCGTCTTCCGTATCTGTTGCAAACCCTGGTCCTGGCGTAGATTGCCAGCATGGCCTCCTTGCTGTCCTGCTGACTGCAGCTCTCACCTCTTCAGGGCCACCTGGGTGCAGCATCTAGGGCCATCCTGCTCTAAGAGTGCCAGGCTGCATCAGGTCTCTGTTCCGTTCACTCTTTCTCCCTCTCTCTGGTCCTATCAGCAGTCACATAAAGATTGGGATGGAAGTGAAGTCCTTGTCTATACCCACCTGGACCCGCCCTCTAGGCTCCCCCTCCTCTATTACCCCATCCCACTTTGGCCTTGGCCCATGTTTCCCTCCTCAACATCCTTCATATCTTCATGAGGGCTTCTTTGACTCCCCCCCCCCCCATAATGGTACTCTCAATCCTTCCTTGCTTGATTTTCTTTCTACTAATCATCGCCAGCTACCATACTATTTACATTATTATTTTCTTAATTATCATCTGTGTTAGCTTTCTGTCACCATGGTGAAATACCTGAGCTGAACAACTTAAAAGCACAAGTCTGTTTTAGCTCAGTTTCCATGCATTTGGATCCTCATTACATGGCTCTGTTGGTTTTGGCCTGTAGTGGGACAGCATTGTGTTCATGCAAAGATACGTGACCAGATAAGTGACATCCAGGAGATAGGGACAGGACCAAGCTAGGGTCCCATTATGCCTCCATTGGCATGTCACCAGTGACCTAATTTCTTTCTGCTTTTGAATCCAAGTCCATTTACTCATTGCTTGAGAAAGGCCAATGAACTGAAGACAGATTGTGGGGCAAGCAAATAGGTAAGCCAGCTGGATACTAGAAGGACATATCTTAGAGGACCTGGCAGCTGGTGGCATTGCCACTTGTCCATGATGAAATAGCTGACAAGCACCTCAAGGGAGGAAGGACTTACTCTGGCTCACAATTTGAGTAGCCACAGTCTGTCCTGGAGGGAAAGCATGGCTGCTGCTTCAGGAAGCTGCTGGTTACATTGCATCAGCAGTTAGGAAGCAGAGAGTGAACAGGAAGTGGGGTTTGTTTATATAAACCTCAGAGCCCACCATGTCATGGCCCACTTCCTGTAGAAGGGAGGCTCCCCTTCCAAAAGGACCTTTCCAAATGGTGATACTAAGTGCTAATGACCAAGTGCTCGAAAGCATGAGCCTGTGGGGGGACATTTCACGTTTAAGCCTCAGCACTGCTGATTATGCCAGTCTTGAAGGGGAGGGTGCCCGTTGGGGTAAGTCAACGCATACCACTAGTTTCAATGAAGATTGAGGTCTGGGATTTTTAAAGCAGAGAGTAGCAGCAGGTGTGGCTGCACGTTTACCAGTTCTTATCTCCAAAAAGGTCCACCTCCTCTTGGTGGCACAGGTTGGTGACCAAGGCTTTGACGTATGGACCTCTTGGAATAATGTGTATCCAAACCACAGTACTGTGGGTTTTCTACGTGATTGCAAGTGCAGTAAGAAGGAAATGGAAGGTTAGACTCCTGAAGAGTTAGAGCTCTGTTGAGATAGAAACTTCATGAGAAGCTCAGTGTCCCAAGGCCTAAAAGAATACCTGAAGTAGAACTGAGATGCCCATGAACTCTGGCAAGTGAATGGAGTAGAACTGAGATGCCCATGAACTCTAGGAAAGTGAGTGAATGTGTGGATCTTTTCAGCCACAGCTGGCTGCAGCTTCTCAAGTACTCTGGAACCTTCTTCATGTATCTTCTGCTCTCCTCTGTAGGCTTTATGCTAGGACAGGCTTTCTTCTCATGGAACCCACCAGCCTCAAGACTCCAAGTGGAGGAGAGAGCACCTTTCTCCTGGTCACTGCAGAGTCAGCTCTGGTTGGTCCCTGTTAAGACTTGGGCCATTCTGTAGTCAGGGAGATCAGTGGCT